CAGCGCCCAGCCTGTGGTGGGGGGTCTGCCCGCTCCCTAGAGCCTGCCCCACAGCGGGGGGTCCATACAGAGCCCGGCCTGCAGCGGGGGCCTACCCACTCCCTAGCACTCCACTCCGTAGCGGGCGAAGTGGCGCAGCAGCACGCCCAGCTCCAGGTGCACGGTGCCCGCGGCGCTGGTCTGCAGGCGGTACCGGTCGGCCCCCGTGTAGATCAGGTCGCTGTTCAGCAGCTGGGGCCCCCCGCCCACAAAGAGCTGGGAGAGCCGTTCCTGCCAGGAGCCCAGGGGCTGCCAGGTGACGCAGGCCAGCGCGTGCCAGCCCGGGCTGCACGGCACGTGGCAGAAGCCGTAGCCGTAGAGCTCCCTGCGCCCGAAGGGGTCCTGGTGCCAGACCTGCACGTGCAGCTTGGGCCAGCCTGACAGCAAGAGAGAGGGGACCCGTCAGTGCCCTGCCCCGCTCCGCAAGCCGGCTGCCCCCTGCCCCATTCCCTGCCCCCAAGCCACAGTGCTGCCCTGGGGCCGGATGGGAGCCACCAGCATTTATCCACTTCTGCAGCTGAGGCCACAAGGAGCCTCTGGAAGTGGGGGGACGAACGGCTGCGCCTGCCCCACCTGGGCTCTGCCCCCCACCCTGCTCCGGCGGGGCCAGAGGGAGGGGGAGAAAAGCCCCAGGGGAGACAGGACTGGACAACAAACGGCCTCTGGTGTCTCACACAACTGGAGGGAAATTCCTTCCACTGAGAGAAATTAATTCATGCCTGGCCAGGGCTGCCTTCCCCGTCCCTGCCCCCCACGAGCCACGGCTTCCTGCCCCCCAGCTCCTGTCTGGAACCCGCAGCCTTCCCCCAGCTCCTGGGCCACCAGCCCAGTGGACACCGGGGCTGGAACCGGCGCCGGGTGGAACTTACCCTGCAGCCCCTTGGTGGCAAAGTGCACGTCGATGGGGTGGGACCAGTAGGCCACATCGCCCAGCTGGGGGTGATCCACCTGCGTCTGCCCCTCCCGCAGGCCGGAGAGCAGCTTCCAGGCACCACCTGGCGGGGGGAGGGAGAAGCACAGTCAGTGAGGGGGGAAGAGGCTTCAGGAAGGGAGCACGTGAGAGCCAGAGATAGAACCCAGGAGTCCTGGCTCCCAGTCCCTGCTCTAACCACTAGACCCCCATCCCCTCCCAGAGCCGGGGAGAGAACCCAGGAGTCCTGGCTCCCAGCCCCCCTGCTCTAACCACCAGCCCCCACTCCCCTCCC